TCTCACTCTCTCTCTCTCTCTTCAGTATGACTACATGGAAAGGTTAGATGGAAAAGAGAAGTGGAGCGTAATCGAGTCTCCTCGTGAGCGGCGCAGTATTCAAACCGTTGTCCAGAATGAGGCAATCTTTGTGCAGTATCTGGACCCCGGCACCTGGCACCTGGCCTTCTACAATGACGGCAAACAGAAAGAACCCATCTCATTCAGCACTGTGGCTCTAGGTAGACACCTCCAGCTTTTATTTACACACAGGTCAATATTTAAAAGGTAAAATAGAAACTCGGTTGTTTGGAGACCTGCTGTTTAGAAGATGTGTTTCACTGCAAGCGGCTTACACAGTACATCTGATCTACCCTTAACCTCATTTTATATTTCAGTTTGAATGTGAGCAGTCGAACTGGGAGAGCTGCTTTTATTGCTTTCACTTACATTTCTCTTTAGGTCACAGAAGGAATAGTTGTATTTATAAAATTAAAGTAAACACTGAAATATGTTTGTTCAGGCAGTTTCTCTACAAGGGTTGCTATAGTGATGACTTAGCATAAGCACAATGCCAACTTCAAGACTTTCTTCTACAACAGCTGAGAGGAGCTGTCAGTGAGGGATGGAAAATTGGAAATTTGGCCTCATGTCTGTCATGACATCAGGCAGTTATGCAGATCTCATGAAGTGTATAGGAAGCCTTGCTGTATTTTACATATTGATGTACTTTATATATTGTGTGTTTAAATATTCATGCATAAACCGCTCACTTTTTCTCTCATTCAATATTCAGAACATAGCAACTGGCGTATACTTCAGTTAATGGACAAAGAATGAGTAAAAAACATAGAAATAGATTCCTGAATATATATATATATATATATATACAGTGGTGGAAAGTAAAATTGTGTAAGTAGAGTAAAAAGTACTTGTCCAAAAAACTACTTGAGTAAGAGTAAAAGAGTAGCTTATTTAAAAGTACTAATGAGTAGTGAGTAGTGAGTACTGAGCTGCGGATTCTACCCCCTAATAAACGCTGTACACTGCAATTTAAACATTTAGAATACATTGTACTACTGTAATTCAGATTATCTTTTGTTGTTTGTCAGAAAGAATGAATATCTATCATCCAGCAGTTTTAATTTTGACTTCCAACTCTTACATACAAAATACATCAAAACAACAATGAAAAACATCATCCCCTACCTTTTACACAGCTACATTTACTCAAATTGTTATGCTGATAAAACAATTTGTAAGGAAAAAAATGCATTAAATAGGGACGTATTTCCAGGGAAACTTTTTCAAAAGAAAAACACACACACACACGCGCGCACGTCTCTTTGCAGGGCCACGGCAGTCTGCAGCATCTACAGCTGAATGGAACAAAAAGTGTTGAACTTGAAAAAAATGTTGTGCTTGAGTGCACTTGCTAAATGAAGGCGGATTGTATAAAATGGATCAAACAGCTTTGTATATTAACGAGCTGCAGTATAATAATGCCACAAATCATCAATAAAGTGCATACTGAAACTGGTCCTCCAATTTCAGTACATTAAGCCATGGTAATCTGTTTTTCCATATTTCCAAGCATTTTAGTGCTGATAACTCGACTGAACTGATGCTTAAAGAATGCGCTTTCAGCAGCCATGATTGTTTATCACCAGCTGCGGTTAAAGTTTTCTATGCACAATTTGATTTGAAGAGAGTCACAAGACCGATTACCTTCTTCCTATCTAATCACATTGATGGGTAAAAATAAAATTAAAAAAAGCATGTAACGATCACAAACGGAGGGAAAATAGCAGAGAAAACGTACAGATGCATCACTTAAGATGTACTCAAGTAAAAGTAAACAGTTTTTAAACTACTCAAAAAAAGTATATTTCTATAAAAAAGTAAATTCTGATAAAAGCTACTTGATTACAGTAATGTATTTGTTACACACCCCTGTATGTGTGTGTGTGTGTGTGTGTGTGTGTATATATATATATATATATATATATATATAAACACATTTAAAAAAAGTTTTAAAACCAAATACAAATGTGGTTTGATTTAGGTTTGTAAATATATTTGTTTTATATTTCATAGACTCGAAAGTTTTTTTAGTTTTTTTAAAGAAATAGATTTTTTTCGAAATAAGTTTATCAAATGTGACAATCAAGACTTTTACATTATTACAAAAAAAATGTATTCAATTAAATGCTGTTTTTAACTTTCTATTAATCTAAGAATTCTAAAAAAAAGAAAAAAAATTGTCACAGTTTCCGAAAAAAAAATGTTATCAGAAAAACTGCTTTCAACATTGATAATGATAAGAAATTACGTAATAAGAATAAAAAAAATGTAATAAGAAATTCATATGTGTCATAACAGGAATATTTTATACATTATGTATTATATTGTAATATATGTATATCAAATATATTAAAGTAGAAAACTGTTATCATAAAGTGTAAAAATATTTCACAGTGTTATATTTTGTTGTATTTTTGTTCAAATAAATGCAGGCTTGGTGCATTTTAACCCCCACAATTTTAAACTGTATTTTTTATTTGTTTGTTTGTTTGTTTATTTATTTTTATTTTTTTTGCTGTTAAGACTACAAACAACTAAACTATTTGAGTAGGATATGTCACAAACATTTTTGCTGGCTGTCTGCTCTCTGAATAAATCCATAAAGATAGTGCTAAAAGTGTTTGGGCACTTAAGCCACTTAAAATGAATGAATGCCTTTGCATTAGATAACAGAGTATGAAACAAAGTGGTATTTATTTTAAAGAAAGACAGAACAAGCACGCTTTTCAAACATTTCACAAACGAAGTGTGTTTGGTTAAATAAAAAAAACACTTAAATGTATTTGCACACTTTCTGGTTGTCAAGCATTAGTCAAACATTTTAAGAAATGCACCTGCAGCTGCTCTCATAGAACACCTGTGTGAACTTGAGAAGAACCAATTTTATACATCTACTCAAAATCACCTTGAGATCAGTTGTTTACAATTCACTGCAAAAATAATTCAGAAAAGTGAAAATAGTTTGGAGAAAAGCTCTATCATTATTTGTTTACAGATGCCACTTTGATATTTATCTAATGCAATGACATTCATACATTTTTAAGTGTAGCTCAAGTGTCCAGATATTTTCTGGGTCCACTATATTAATAACAGTATGTATGATTAATAATTCAGTTTGGAGAAACACACACACTTACACACAACTACACGCACACGCACGCACACACACACACATGCACACACATTGTGCTCTTGAGGCCTCTTTGATCTGATCACATGCTGTATGAATATCTGTGCATCTTATTCGGTTGATGGCTACTGTTGATTTGAAAAGCATCATTTATTTTAGCTTTTAGCACAGTGATAGTGTTACATTTCCCAATAGGCTGTAGTGAAATGTGTCACAGTAATTCACACATTGGCACTGAATCAATAACGCTGGCTGAAAGTTCACAAAATGCAAGACAGTTCATAGCACTTCAGCATTTTTTTTTTTTTTGTCACACAGCAGCATTTAAAGGTCTCCTGAATTTGTGAACGTTACGTTCCACTGTCCCCATTAATAACTGAGGGTTGTAAAATGCACGCGTCTCTTATGTGTCGTCTCAGATTCAGTGGAAGAGTGCCCCCAGAATTGCCATGGCAACGGAGAGTGCATGTCAGGAGCGTGTCATTGCTTCCCAGGGTTCCACGGCACAGACTGTTCTAAAGGTACCGTTTACTGTCACACTGCCGGAATGTTTGCGTTAAAAAATGATGTTTCACTTTGCAGCATTTGTCAAAATATTTTTGTAGTCATGCAAAAAAAGCTGTTGTATAATAACATTTTGCTTACTAAATCTTAACACCTTCCACATTTCTAAGGCCGAGTGTCCATCAAAGCATTTTTTCCCCGAGGCTGGCGTATTTTTTCCAATTGTTTTCAATGGGAGCGACACATATTTTAAACCGCCAGGAGCGTGATGAGTGTCTTTTTCATGCTGAGTGCTCAGTCGTTTTTTTCTCGGCACCAAGAGTTGAAGAATGTTCAACTTTGGGTAAAATGCAGCGCTTTTCACTGTCACTTTTCAGTCAGTTAACCAATCACAGTGGAGGAGGAGCGGGAATAATACTGGCCAACCATCACACCTTGCTTGTACTATGACTGAACAACAACGGAGAAGTTAATATTGCTTGTCTCCGAGTGTTTATGTCTTTACCAGAAGGAATTGCCAGACTACCATATTGTTATGAAAAATAATGCTTGGAGAAACATTTCATTTGCGAAACATTTTCATTTACTTCAGCAGATATTCCGTATCATAGCAACCACAGCATCTCAACTGAAAAAAACGTCTCGGTTACATATGGTAACCCTCGTTCCCTGAAGGAGGGAACGGAGACGTCACGTCGGATGACCGACGAATTGGGATCTCGCTTACCTTGAGGGTTCGGGACGCGGTGGAAGATTCCACTCACGTAATGAACCAATTTACTAAAAGATGTCAGACATCCCAAAGCTACATGCTGTATATGACATAAGAGTTCAGGAGGGCACATTTGATTATTGCGAGAGTACATGGACATAAAATAATAGCGAAGTAGCTACACTGTCTGAAAACAGCTAAAAAGAAAGTTTTAGTTGATTACTCTAATTTCTTTGACACACAGTTTGAGGTGATTTCATGCAGTTCAGTGTATTTGTTTCGAGTAACTCTATGCTTCATTTTTCTCTTATCTTATCTTACATTTCATACCTGAACTTCTCTCAGTTAAGCTGGTTTTCACTAATTCCTCTAAAACATCCTCGTCTTCTGTCCTTCCCTCACTCCCTCATTTGTTTTCCCCCCTGCATCCTATCGTTCCGTCTCTGTTGCAGTGGCGTGTCCCGTGCTGTGCAGCGGGAACGGACAGTACAGCAAGGGTGTGTGCATGTGCTACAGTGGCTGGAAGGGGCTGGAGTGTGACGTGCCGCAGGGCCAGTGCATTGACTCCAGCTGTGGCGGTCACGGGATCTGCACCCAGGGCAGCTGCACCTGTGAAGCGGGTTACCGTGGCGAGTCCTGCGAGGAAGGTAATGAGTGCAACGACGGCTTTTCTGACCATCTCATTTTCAAAACTCTTTTCAAAACTCAGCACTCTCAGAAAAACCTCTTCCTCTGAGAATCTAGGTTTTCAAATGTCTGCTATAAAAGTATGCTGGTACGAGCATAATAAACTTTATTAAAGTAATGAAATTTAGTCTATTGATCTGGCTTTTAAGAAATTGGCCAGAAATGGAGTCTCTGAGCACATGTTCATGTGAGCTGCAGCTAGTTTTTGAAAGTGGAGAGATCCCAGAGGTGAGTTTAGGAGAGTGAGGTGAAAGATGAGGAGGAAAGAGAAAAGAAAAAAGCAAGCAGAATGAAAAAGTCTTTTCAAACTCTCTGTTTCTCTCCCTCTCCAGTGGCTTGTCTTGACCCCACGTGTTCGGGACATGGAAGCTGTGTGTCCGGTCAGTGCCACTGTAAGCCGGGTTGGTCCGGGCCTCTATGTGATGTGTCCAGAGCCCAGTGTCCAGATCAGTGCAACGGTCACGGAGCCTACAGCCCTGACACGGGCCTCTGCAGCTGTGACCCAAACTGGATGGGCCCTGACTGCTCCACCGGTGTGTTCCCATCAGCCATTTTCACCTTCTCACTTACTGTTTTCTCAAGCTGTGCTGCAATATATTCTAATCTTTCATTGTCATCCGTCTACACTCTCGGGGGGATTCACTAAGCATGAATTGCGCACGCTGATAGTGTTGTTTATTTGTACTCACTGCGTGTGCTGTTTTAGCACCCGATTCATATGCAAATCAGGTAACGGCACAAACACCC